TATATATATATATATATATATGTGTGTGTGTGTGTGTGTGTGTGTGTGTGTGTGTGTGTGTGTGTGTGCGTGTGTGTGTTTGTTTAATTTTGTCCTCCTGCTGTACCGAAACCATACAGAACCATGACGTTATTTATTCCTGATATACATACCATTTTCCATTTTTCCAATGCATCTTACAGTGTATATTTTATCGGTATGTGTGTTGCCTTTGGAAACTGAACCTATGTCTTTGACCAGTTTAATTCTAATAAGTGATAAATTAGGAGTAAAAGGATAAAAAAAAATCAGATTTTAATCCTAAAGCTCAGGAGAAACCCTTGCTGTTGTCAACAGGTTCATTTTTTTTGTAGTGATGTATTTCTACGTTGATACTATTAATCTAAAAAGAGGTGCCAATATGAGGATTAACACAAAAAATGATAAGCATGATGCATGACATGACACTTTATATCAAAATGAATTTTTATGTTGGCATTGAAGTAATAATTTCCTAAGAGATTCATATAATTATCCCGTGTTTCCATATCTATATGTCCCATGTCTTGGTCTCCATCTCACCCTAAGGGTAGCTGCCACAACCAGACAGGCCTGTTCAGACGGATCTATCTGTTCATACCCATCTCCTTTAGTATTGTCCTGGTGTTACATGTTCAAAGGAAGTCAGAAATGTTTTTGTATGTCAAGAATTCAGTCACAAGGCATCTAAGGCTCTGTCAATCATTCTGTGCTCAGATTAGAGTCAAACTGATGGCTGATAGTGCATGTCTGCTTATTGTGGATTCCTTCAGAGTCTGGCTTTAATTGGAAGTAGTTTGTAACACCCCAAAATAAATGTTATGTTATAATTTATTTAATAAATATTTTATAAAAAAAATTACAATGTATTACATACAACAATAATAATAATAATTATTATTATGAAATTACCATGCAATAACACCTATTTTTTATAAGAAAGTGATTGCATTAGCTCAGTTAACTACTGTACTATAAACAAAAGCACAAATCAAATTTTTGCAAGAGCAGCTGCAAAGTCTGGCATGGTGCATCCCAACCTGCTGTGGCGTATCTTCTACGATCACATTCTGCTGTGTTCTGTTGCAGGGTTTCGCGATATGAACAGGATACCAGCTCCCTTGGGGCCGTTGTTCAACACTAAAAATAATAGATGCTTATCTGGCCTGCGACTCACGCCAACCTGGCCACAACCAGGAAGAACAATCAAGACAAATGCCTGGCATGCCATTCAGCTGCGAAAATCTGGGCAGAGTAGTCGCCAAGGTCTTTGTCATCAAGTACTTCCTTCCCTCCTCTGTCTCTTTTCCTCCTGTCTGTCTTTCTGCCTGACATTATCTTATTTTGTTCACACCACTCAATACGTTAGCGTGTGCTCTCGGTTGCAAACCCTTGTGAAAAAGAAGTACAGTTTTTTTTCTTCTTTAAATAGAGTACTCATTATTGCACTTTAAAAGAATATACTGATGTGCAAACTGAATGCAATGATTTTGGACATTTAATTGCAAGTTAACTGCAATTAAATGAAAATATAGGATAGATTACATTTATATGAAATGCATTTAGTTTAATTTTAGAGTGTTTTTGACTCTTTTGACTTAACTAGGACTTAAATACATCTTTATAAGTCTTTATAAGTTTATAAAAAAAATACTCTATAAGTCATTTCATAATTACTCTTTTAATACACTTAATTGGCCTTGAATTTTATACAAGTACAGTTTTTTTTTATTTTTCCTTTTCTAAAAGATTTAAAGTACACTAAAGTGTACATTCAATATAAATAAGCGCACTTCATTTTCACAAGGGAAGTGTTGACTAACACTGTTGTCTTAACTAGGTGTGAGGCTATAAAATGACATTTAAAGCTACATGTTCTGCGTGCGACAGTAATGAAGTTATATTTGATTCTGAAAAAATGTGTTCATATGACAAGAATATTTCCCCTCAGACTGTCTTAACCGAATCATGTTATATTAACTTTTGTCAAAGAAATTGGCAGAGTACAGTCTAATATTTAAAACAAGGCTTACAATTAGTTCAGGTCACATGATGCTGAATATAGATAAACGCAGATAAAAACAAACTGTATTTCCTCTCTTTCCCCATAAAGACTTGGCAGAATTATTCTCTTTTCAGTTAAGTGAGGTTTTATTGCTTTTGTTGTTCTCTTGGGACGTTTAAGCAATGAAGTACTTGCCGAAATTGTGGGATTGACAATCTTCACAATGTGGCATGGGGCATGTGGTTTTGAGTGGTCACTGCTGGCTCTGAGTCCATTAGCAAGCAGGGTGATGAATGTGCTGTGGAAGTGGAGTGACTCATTAGCGAGAGGCTCATCTGAACTTGTTAAGGGCTTAATTGGATTGAGCAATAAAAGCTCTTCTACAGTCTCTTATTTTGATTGTTGACAATGCACAGGTGCCCCCTCTCCTCTGTCTCTCTCTCGCTCCACTTTTTTCTCTTAAGTGAGATTTCAAATCGTAGGGAGTGGTTATGTTCGAAGGGTACTGTGACGGTCACAAGGTTACAAGCATATATACCAAAAATAAAAAGGTAGTCAAGGGTCTGGAATTCTTTTTTTTTAGCGTCAAGTCACCATGAAATCAAAACTTACTATTCTATTTTTTTTTATGGAATATGCAGTGTTTATTATTAATTATTTATCTGTGCTGTCACTTACATTAAACAATTGCAAAAATTAGCAAAAATTACCAAACCAGTTCCCAGTGGACAACATCTTACTGGGTGGATTTTTAGAAAACCATTTTGGAATAAAGTAATAATGAACTAAATAACATTTTCACACTTTTTAATAATATTTGATCAAATTAAAGCTTTATTTAAAATAATATTTTTGACAAAAAAAATCTACAAAAATAGAAGTATTCTGTTCACAAGTTATGTTTCTATAAAAGGAAAAAAATAATAAAAGGTAAAAATAAATGAATACAAAAAAATGTACATTATTACATGAATGCTCTTGAAATGATTGCAGCAATTTTTAGAAAACCATTTATTCTGTAAAGAAAATGACAGAAATAAAAAAAAGATATTTTTGACCAAATAAATAAATACATAAATAATCTACAAAGATAAGTGTTCTATTTGCAAGTTATA